GCAGAAAAACTCAACACAAGTTAGTTATAAAACTTAGGAATTCCAACTGTAAACCGTTAGTCTCGCTCCTGGCCTTTTTGGAACACTCACTTTTTCAGATCCCTCTGCACAAGCGCCAGGCATTTCTGGACACCAAGTGACTAGTACGGATGGCTTGTGTGCTATTCCTGCAAATGATACCGGCGAGATGTCCTTATCGTATGGTGCTAGTCGTGCTTCCACCTTGGGAGCACTTGCGAAACAAACACGCGAGAGCGCCGATTCTCAACGCTTTGTATGTCGATGCAAGCGGGCCCAAGAGTGTGGAACCTGAACAAGTGGTATGTGTTCATATTCAAACACACACAAGTCTCACTATTGTTTTAAAGATCCGTCCTGATGACGACCCTCTGCACACTCCCAATGACTAACATACACTTCCCCCCGACAACGAACCTCTGCACACTCCAACAACAAACTTTGAGGACTATCGCTGAGGATTATCGCGACTATGGGACGGACTATTGAGAATTTTAGCATATGGCCGCACTTTGTAACTTTGAGGACTTACTGGAGTCACCAGACTTTGACGACTTTAAGCACGTAGTTGTACCTTCACTTAATATGAGGGAATATACCTACTATTATTGGACTTCCAAGACCGAACTTTGAGGACTTGCCACCCACGACTTTGAGGACACTTTGAGGACTTACCACGAGACTTTGAGAAATTACAACGACTTTAAGGACACTATGAGGACTTACCACGACTTCAAGGACGCTTTGAGGAATTACCACGACTATGAGGACACTTTGAATACTATGACGACTTCAAAGACACTTTGAGGACTTACCACGACTTCAAGGACGCTTTGAGGATTTACCACGACTTTAAGGACTTACTAGACTTACTTGACTTTGGCGATTTTAACCACATAGTCGTACTTTCACTTGATATGACTCTGAGCACAATTTTTGGACTATACCTAATATTAATGGACTTCCAAGACCGATGACTATATTCACACTGATTATTTACCAAGTGTCTGACCGCTCTGAATGTATTATGACTTTGAGGACACGGTCACACTTCCAAGACTCACCACATTCACACTTTCCTTACTAAGCTTATGAAGATCAACTTCTCCTGTAAAACACATCCTTCAAATCGATGATATTGTCAAAAGTCCACTGTTGGTTGAAGCCAACAATTGTGCAAGTGTCTCCTTAATTAATGCGTGTGGCCGATTCAAATCCATTTATTTGACCCCGCCGCTCGTCCTTCTTTCCTCTTAACTTCTTTCGCCCCATCTTGAATTTGCAAAGCTCGTAACATTACGAGCTAATAGCATATCATAACCAACCCCACGCTTAGTTTTATCTTAAATAAGTGAATTCCTCGTTGATATACAATGCCACAGCACGACCAACCGGACAAGAAGCCAAGGCTTCAGCACGCCGATCTTTCCGAATCTAATCTTACCGAACAGGAAAAGCAACGCGAACGTCAAAGACGATGGCTCGCCAACGAGAAGCGCGATCCTGCTCGGGCGCAAGAGATCAAGGAAAGGAACGCGGCCAACAAACGTGCATGGAGAAAGCGAAAGAAGGAGGAAAAGGAGAAGGCCGACCAAACAGGCAACGCAGGCCCCGCCGAAGGACAAGGTCCTGCGAAGAAACAGCGTGTTTCCTCTCCCGAAACACATGCTGAGGCGGGACCGTCCAACTCAGCCCCAGACGATATCCCTATCAACCCAATCCTCCTCAACCAGGAGGAAACCCTTCCTCAGGCGGGACCTTCTAACTCAGGCCCGGACCATATCCCTATCGACCCACTTCTCCTCAACCAGGAGATTGCCGCGCCTACTCCCACTCTCCCTCTAATGCGCGATGCTGAGGTGATGACGGATGCGCCGGAACCTTTCGTCAATCTGCCCGTCGAAATCATCCCTGTACCTTCTTCGCCTACCTTCTCTACCCTTACCAATCTCGACTCTCGCGACCGGGCGACTCCCATTATCGGCACTCAAGTACACGAAAAATCAGACACCATCGACTGGTCTGATGGATCCACGACGGTACTACCGTGCATCATGAGGGATGGCGTCAATATATGCCAAGAAGACGCCGACACAGTGGCTTTCTTTGCTTCTCTCCCGGAATCGCTTCCAGAGACCTCTAAAAACGTCGTGCATTTACATTACAAGGACTGGCGCACAAAGAGCCGACAGTTGTGCGACGAGATCTCTGCGGCGATTCGGGTAAACAAAGCCGTCGTCATTCGGAACATAAGCACACCCGAACCTGCAACGTTGGATCTAGACTACCTCGAAGATCGCGGGATGTCAGACTTAATGCACGTCGTCATACATGGTATGATTATTTTAATTTTGTATACTCATCACACGATCTAACCTTGTTACAACAGACGCTGAACAACGTACCAAGGATTTCACGTTTCCCCACCAGCATGCAACTCTCGAAGAGTTCGTGAACAACATACACGATCCTAACAAGATCCAGTGTATTCTAGACGTTGGATACGGACAAGGTGGTCTCCCGTCAGCTCTAAGGTTCGTACCCATATCATTATTCTAATCCATCACACTACTAAGTTAGCTGACCCGTCCATTATTAGCACTCTCGACAGCGGTATCGTCAACGGATGGAATCAAACTACCGTTGACTGCCCCGTCGGTGAAAAGGTCCACCCGGATAACTTCACCGTACACTCGTGGGCGTTGATTCATAGCCCCGCGTTTTGGACACATCCGCACCACGACTCGGATGGTAGCCTGACATTCGTGCAAGTCGAAACAGGCGAAAAAAAATGGGGCCTGTGGCGACACGTTCACGAGGACATGCTCACACGGACCCACCTCTCCGAAATAGCCCCCGAACTCACGGATCTCTATCAAAACCGCAAGAAAATACAGGAGACTTGGCACGGAGAAATTGTCACTCTCTTACCCGGTGACATGCTGTGAGTACATTGTTATTTTATAAGGATTTTTACTCATAATTACTAGTATACAACCTCCAGGCCAATTCCACGCGGTTTATACACCAGTAACTTCGTTTGCCACCGGAGGGCATTTCTACAACTACGAAACCATGCATCTAACGGAACTTTCTCGATACATAGACCACAAGCAAGGAAGGACCCTCACTAACCAAGTCCACGAGCATTCTCTGGAAACTTTTCAGCGAATGGTCATTAACTTACCGCGCATATCGCGTCGTATTAGTGAGTCTATTTCTACTTGTACAACGTTGGACACTTTTGACATAATTTTTCAGAGCTATACAGCAGGCCTTTGATTGCTCTTTGCATCATGGTCTTCGATTGCAACAAATATGTTGCCGCCGGCACTGAAAAGCCGAAGTTCAAGACGAACACCACAAAGCCGGCGCATGATATCGGCAACGCGATCATAAAGAACTTCTGGAAGGACCTCAAGAACGCAACTAGCGTGTATCGCAAGAAGCAGATACATGGCAGCAATAGCCAGACGCATCCGGGTGAACCCATTAGTAGAGATGAACTGCTGAATTGCTTGAAGCGCTTCACTGCGCTGTAGTGTAGTTACTATATATTTACTTAAAATTGGATTTGACATGCTGTATGAATAGACTGTACAATACATTCTTATTAGGTGGGATGTGCAGGTATGACCGAGAAGTTAAACAATCGTGAATGTAACGCTATATTATAACTCTTCAATTCTTTTGCGAGTCACATTTGTGTTTGATACATCATGGGAATTTATCTTGATCCTATTAGTAAATCTATAAGTTATGTTGGACGAAGAAATAGATGGAGCCGAAGTGAAATAATCGATACTGTCCGCACAGTGTCCTCAAAGTGTCCTCAAAGTGTCCGCAAAGTTTATAGTCACCCAAGTGTCTTCAAAGTGTCCTCAAAGTAGCATAGTCATCAAAGTGTCCGCAAAGTCGTATAGTCCGCAAAGTGTCCGCAGTGTCCTCAAAGTAGTATAGTCCGCAAAGTGCCGGCAAAGTGTCGGCAAAGTGTACTCAAAGTAGCATAGTCATCAAAGTGTCCGCAAAGTCGTATAGTCACCAAAGTATCAGTGAAGTGTCCGCGAAGTGTAGGCAAAGTGTCCTCAAAGTAGCACAGTCATCAGTGTCCGCAAAGTCGTATAAGTACTCACCAAAGTGTCCGCAAAGTTTCCACTGTAGTAATATCCAGATGCATCTGGGGCAGCCTATCAGCAGAGAAGAACTACTGACTTGTTCGAAGCGCTTCACCACTCTGTAGTATTTTTTACTAGATATATTACATATATTGGATTTTTCATGCTGTATGAATGCATGAATACCAACTACGGAATTGTCCAATATATTTTTAGTCGTGATACTCGTCAAATTCTAGTTAAACAAGTGTGAATGCAGCGCCAGATTATAAAGGTTCAACGTTTTTGCGAGTCACACTCGTATTATTACGCATTTGAATTGATTAGGATTCTACTAATAAATCTGTGATTTAAGTGTGCACGAAGAAATACATAGAGCTGAAGTGAAATAATTGATACTCAAAATGAGTCCTCAAAGTCAAACCGGGTCATCAAAGTGTCCTCCAAGTTCAACGACGTCCTCAAAGTCAAACCGGGTCCTCAAAGTCAAGGTACGTCTTCAAAGTCTCACGACGTCCTCAAATCGTTGTTTGAATCTATGAAAAATCCAGACAAGATACAATTGCACTATGATAATTCAGTGCACATTGTATAAATTTACGATAGTCTTGTCACGTGAACATTATCACGTGAAAATTATCACGTGATGGTTCAAAATGTGGTTCAATTTCAACTTCCGCTTCATACGTTCTCTTCCCATTCTACTTCCTTTGTTACACATCTTCTCACATCACATTGTCGTAGCTCCTAACGGGGGCAAAGAGCCGTCGCTCTGACACCATGTGAGAAGTGACATTCGTGTCTAGCGCCTTTATGGGCGCATATGGCTGTCGTCGACAGTCGCATGACGTGTCTGTTCTGTTTGCGTCACTCTTGCACGCGTCCCATCTCCTCGCCGTAGCTCCTTACGGGAGTTTTGAGCTGTCGCTCTGGCATGGCATGATGGGCGACTCTCGCACTTAGCGCCTTTATGGGTGCCTGGCTGTCGTCGACGGTCGTGCGATGAATCTGTTCGGTTCGTATCACTATTCGACGCATCACCTCTCCTTGCTGTGTCTGTCCCATTCGCGTCACTCTTGCACGCATCCCATCTCCTTTCTTTTCCTGTCCTGTTCGCGTCACTCTTACACGCGTCCCATCTTTTTGCCGTAGCTCCTTACGGGAGTTTTGAGCTGTCGCTCTGGCATGGCATGTTGGGCGACTCTCGCACTTAGCGCCTGTATGGGTGCCTGGCTGTCGTCGACGGTCGTGCGATGAATCTGTTCGGTTCGTATCACTATTCGACGCATCACCTCTCCTTGCTGTGTCTGTCCCATTCGCGTCACTCTTGCACGCATCCCATCTCCTTTCTTTTCCTGTCCTGTTCGCGTCACTCTTACACGCGTCCCATCTCCTTGCCGTAGCTCCTTACGGGAGTTTTGAGCTGTCGCTCTGGCATGGCATGTTGGGCGACTCTCGCACTTAGCGCCTGTATGGGTGCCTGGCTGTCGTCGACGGTCGTGCGATGAATCTGTTCGGTTCGTATCACTATTCGACGCATCACCTCTCCTTGCTGTGTCTGTCCCATTCGCGTCACTCTTGCACGCATCCCATCTCCTTTCTTTTCCTGTCCTGTTCGCGTCACTCTTACACGCGTCCCATCTCCTTGCCGTAGCTCCTTACGGGAGTTTTGAGCTGTCGCTCTGGCATGGCATGTTGGGCGACTCTCGCACTTAGCGCCTGTATGGGTGCCTGACTGTCGTCGACGGTCGCGCGATTAGTCTGTTCTGTTTATATCACTATTCGACCCATCAGCACATCTCCTTGCTGTGTCTGCCACGTTCGCGTCACTCTTTCACGCGTCCAATCTCCTTGCTGTTTCTGTCCTGTTCGCGTCGCTCTTGCACGCGTCCAATCTCCTAGCTGTTTCTGTCCTGTTCGCGTAACTCTTGCACGCGTCCCATCTCCGTGCCGTAGTTCCTTACGTGGGTTTTGAGCTGTCGCTCTGGCATCGCACGATGGGTGACTCTCGCGCTTAGCGCCTTTATAGGCGTCTGGCTGTCGTCGACGGTCGCGCGATGTGTCTGTGCTGTTTGTATCAATATCTACTATATCTTCTTCAACATGTTATCAAAGCAATTGTAAGTAGTCTTGAAAATATTCCTGCGGACGCCTAGCAGAATTGAGTTATCACTCTGGAGATGAGCATTTCAACAAACACAATTAAGTGATCTGAGAGGACAGGGGAAGAATTGAACGTATGATTGTGTATCTATATCCCATGACAGAGCTGTTCCATGAATTCGAAAATAAACTTCCTCAAGTAGTTACAAGACAATGAACCGACTTTGGTGAATTGTAGACTCACCCACGATACACCTCATACATTCATTAAACATAGTATTTATAAGCAATGAAGCAGTTGATTCACCATATGTACATGGAATACTGATTGATATGTGGAGACATGCACCATCAACATAGTCACCACCTGTGATGTTCTGGCATATGGCCGCCACTATTACACATTACTGTGACTTCCTCGAGGTTTCACAAATATTCACGTATTTATCACACAAATTGCTTGATGCTTGGAAAAAATCATTTGTTGTATGTGGATATTGGAGTGCTAATGCATTTGTGCTCACAATGGCGGCCAAGCTAACAAGTAAAATAATGAATATCCACATGTTGCACAATGTACATGATTGTGAACGTGACTGCTCAAATTTGTGGGTGGCATAATGCACAATACTGATTCTGGACTGGCTCCTGTGGATATTTGTGCGTGGGAGAATACAATAGAGGGATTTCGGAATGGCCATGGTGGATATTTATTACTCTCGAGCATTATTAAAACAATCTCGCAAATTATTAATATATCATTCCCGGTCCAAACCAACAACAGGTACATGTATAATTAAGCTCTGATATTCAAGTGAACCAATTGCCTCATTGAGGCTCTTGAGCTCTCACATAACGGGTTTGAAATGAGAATATCGAATTAATGGGAAAGGAAAGTCATTGTATTGAGTCGTTTATAGAATATATGAACTAAACCACACATGCGTCCAAATTTTCAATTTTGTGTATTGAGATACAGGGAATGACAGGATGAAAAGGATCATCTAAGAGCATAATGTACATATGATGGATAGTTGGGTACGTATGATGGGTGTGCTACTAGTATATAATTTTACTAGCTAATTAGTCCCTAAGTCGTCAGGTATCAATCAGACACCGTCAAATCTATCACCTCTGGCTTTTTTTTGGCTTTGGCCTTTCTGCGCATATTTCCAAGACCAGATGGCTTTATGATTCTCAGCATCATCTGAGGCCGAGGGGAGTACAGAAGGAATTCAACGAGAGTTGTGACGCGCAGGTTTCCCTCTAGGTTTTCTATCGCATGTCTTAATCGTGGAACCTAAAAATCAATTAATATAACCTTCCAATGAAAACAACGAATAAATCTCACGCAATCCCAAATGTCTCCCTCTTCGGGGGTATCCCCGACAATCTCCATCTTCAAAAATTTAGTCAAGAAATCCTCGTATTCCTGTCCTGGCTGGTCTTTAGCGGAGGACACGATCGTCTGGATTATGCGGTACGGTAGGAATATCTTTCTGAATTGACTCCTGTATTGCGCCGATGGAACTCCCAGACAATATCGAGCTCGCTCGGTTTCGATATACATGGAACTGTAAAATGAATGTCATAAGATATCAAGCGAGTTCAAGATAAAGGCGACTTACCCATCAGGGTCAGCAAGGTTGATGTCGTAACTCTGTATGGGTTCAATACGAATAAAGCCAGGCTCGTGTCCTTCGACACAAATCATACCAGCCCCGTTGATATCGCGAGACCCGAGTTCAAAATGACCGTCTAGTTCTGGAAGAAGAACCATGTCTTGCCACCAGTCGAAAAAAGCAAAGTCCTGTAGTAAGTACACGGTGTCTTTCTGTCCACCGCTTTGCCGCTTGACAGGGAAGTACTTATGTTCCGGTACTAATGTACCGGACGGTGGAAGATAAGGCTTCCCATGGTCAGGAACTTCAGTAGTACTGTTGCTATCTACGGTGAGTATTTCGTCCGGAAAGGACACCTCGTATGCTGTCGGTTTCCTTCTTCCTTTGCGATCAGCTGGCATCCTGGCTTGTCTTGGTATTGAACAAGTGAGTAAAAAAGACGAGGGTTGTGTGGTTGAAAGCTGAGATGATTTATTGGCTGGTAGGGGAATTTCTTTGAGCAAGCCAAGGTGTGAGATGCAGGACAAGAAAACTTGACCGTTTTTATATCTATCTGGTCCTGTGGCAATTTTTGCGACTGCGCATGTGGATGATTCACAATTTATTGAACACGAAAGTTGACACAGGACAATAATGATTTTGTTGTGGGACTCATGTTTGACCACGATTCATTCTGCCATTGTAGTATGGACCATTATGCTCCCGAGCACTGCATCTTGTGCTTGGTGTCTCCTTGAATTCATTTGTTGACTTTGATATTTTTTTTTCTGCTATTATTACGTAGAATCACCACTACAGCGCTACCGTGCTCCATAATACAACAATGTGCTACAGAAATGAATTTTTGCTACAATTACTACAGGTGCCTCCAAGCACCTTAGCGTTACATAATTTGGCTATGTAGCACTATGTAACCAGTCACTGGAGCTCCCAAAATATTTGTTTTTTTCCCTCCATAGTAAGTGAAAGTCTCGCTATGCAGTCGTAGTTAGATAGAATCTTGGCCTACGATGTATTGGTTGACTTGCCTCATACTGTTCGCCTCCCCCGGTCTGTGTTTTGTATGTGGATTATGGAGTGCTAATACATTCGTATGTACAATGATGGCCGAGCTCACATGTACAATAATGAATATTTACATGCTACAAAATGCAATGGACAGAATTGCGAAATCGGCGCTGCTGACATGTGCGCGTGGCAGACTGCATGTGCCCAGAGTAATGTTTAGCATTGACGGGCCCGTTTGTCCATCTGAAGAGCTGCCCAATATGCAGCTCATATAGATGGGATCAAGCAAAGTTATGAGCGAGTAGGGGAAAAATCAAGGTCGCGGCACAAACATTTGTTACTATCCCACTTGAGCCGCAGCTACAGCCGCTCTATCGTGACGCGGCGAGTGCGTGTCATATGCGATACCTTTTGGAGCGAACCCAGGAGGTTCTAGATGGTGTGAGGCAGATAGGAAAGATCCCCGTTGTTGACGATATCGCAATGTGGTTTGATATTCTTGGTACTGTGCTTGATGGTGAGATCAAGCAGGATGTCATTCTTCTGATGGATTGCTCTGGCGCTTACGGTGTTACTGCTCTCTATCGTTGGGTAATTATTGCTCTGTCGCGTTGGTGTAATTCAGTTTAAAATGTATCTGTAATTATTTTCTATCGTCGATGTTCATTCTATAAATGAATAAATATAGTATTACTATAATGAGTGGACACATTTATCCCGCTGCAGGTTGATCTTGGGGCTTAGTATTCAATACGACTTCGATATCTTGAAACTGTGTCCTCACAAAATTGATCTCACAGTTTCTGCATGGTACAGCAAAGCCTCATTTATATCCAGCAATGAAATAACGAGTTGGAAAGTATGCATATATTTTTGGCTCTATGAATTTATTTCGAAATGTAGATTTCGAACCCATCTGAAAAATGGCATCTCGCATGCGCCGACGAATATACTCGTATATTAACAACACCATCAATTTTTGTCTTCACCCCCACAATGTTAATTAAATACGATAAGGTGACAAGTTTTCCCTCAGCGGTGTCCGCTGCTCCAACAACAAATGACAGCAGCCATGGGAATATCTCACTTTATTTTTTAACAGGGCAATAATTTGAGCGCATATACTGCATCTACTTTGTGATACAAGCCAAAGGCGCTATTGAATGTGTACATTTTACAATTGGCGAGTGCCATCACAAACATGCAGTGAGTGTCTACTAATTCCATTCTGCATTGAACGACTATAAGCTCTTTACAAACGCTTTGTCCTCGCCATGTTATAAATCGGAGATAGCGCTCTCACCATCATCATCAGAATCAGCTTCTGGATCACTGTCGAGATCGCCTTCCTCGCACTGGTTATCACCTACGAGTCCCATGCTGCATGTGTCTGACAAGCAGCGATGCCTTTCTGTGTAAAAATTTGAGCAAAAAATACTGGCGATTATTGCAAGGAACTACTTACTATTCTCAAGTATTGGTAACCGGACCCTTTCTTCCAATAATTCCCAAAATAAGATGTCCTGCCTCCGACGCAGGTCACGCCATTTGACCATCATGCTGGCCAATAGTACTATTCTATCATCGTTAATTCCAAACAACGCTAGGAAAGATTCGATTTCACGGTGGGATTCTTTGATGCGAAACGCCAGTACGCAGATGCGCGGATGACGAAGCAGACGCTTGATTGCAATTGGCTGACAATTGGGTGTCTCAAGCGACAGACTATTTATTTGGTGGGGCGGGTGCACCCCTGCAAGCGTCACCCCATCTAACTAGAGTCAATACATTAGGGGCAATTCTTGTTCAAAACCTTGAATACATTTTTGACCGGCGAATAACTACTCGTGACTCGTCACGGTCTCTGCCTTTATACTACACAAAGGGATAGGTACAACTACACAAAGGGATAGGTACAACTACACAAAGGGATAGAACTACACAAAGGGATAGGTACAACTACACAAAGGGATAGAACTACACAAAGGGATAGGTATGTATATTACTGGTATAAGTCAGGTTACCGCGACTAGTCGTGTCAATACGCCCTCGTTGAACATCAATCAAATGGCAACGACTCTGAGCCAGACTCATAGTACTCTTACAGATGCTGACTTATTGAAACTAGGCATACCCTCATGGCCATCAAGGTTGCAAATGTATTCAAAAGCTGTGATGCAGTAAGTCCTTCGACTTGAATCAGCGCGACTTCCCGGTCAGTGTGACTACTAGTACTAGTACTAGGTCAGTTACGACGATGTAGTGCCAGTTCGCTGCAGCACAGTCACAGTGCCAGCCTGACTTGGAGCACCTGGGCCTGTCATGGACATCTCTAATTTTTTTATTCATGATACTAGTGATTCTGCGCTTGGCCCTGACTACTCGATAAAGTGCAAACAGGTTGATGGCTTCAGGTGGGTTGAGTTAGTCCTTGTCCTACTGAACCAAACTGAATACGTCATTCCCGAAGGAAACACAGCTACGGTGTCTGGCAAGGAATCGTGCATCCTTCAGGAGTATTGTATTATTTCGACGTCTCAATGGTAAGTAAATATTCATCGGTAATTCTTGTCTGTCGCATATCTCACAATCAGACAGAAAACATATACAGGAAGCGATGTGAAAAAATACACGCCTAATCAATT